GCAGGGAAAAAGGAAACTTGCAAGAAGAAGCCATGAATAATATTTCAAGTATCAGAAGCATGAGGGGCCAAACAAGTGATTGCATAGCAATTAAGAAATCCTATTCAAAATGGAGAATACCCAAGCATCTAATCAACTGAATTAGTGGCCTCTGATTCCCCTACTATTTTAGGATTCAGAAAACTGAACCAAAAGCTTCAACCAGAAACAAAATGGCACTGTAAAAATAAACCAGCCAACTCCTGCTTGATTGTTGATGAAAGAACAGCTATTTTGAAATGGGAAATGCACTTCTAGATTCCTTGCACCCCCGATTTTAAAATGCAATGGGCCATAGAGAAGATGAAATGGTCTGCTTCATCAGGGTTCCTGAAGGACTTCAGCAGAGATCAGGGACATGGACTATCAACATGCAGAAGCAAGACATCGAAGGAGAAGAGCAGGCAGACAGAGAGGGCTTCTTGGTCAGAGGCTACAGAACATGGGCAGGACTAACCACTCTTGGCATCATTCCAGACCACAACTTCTGTACCACCTGAGAGTGGGGACCTTAGCAGCAGGATTTAATCAGAAACATCCTCTCTCCATGCCCAAAGTCATGTGAATGATCACGAGCGGGACATGCCCTAGGCTAAGTTGTTGTTGTGTTCGATGCGCTGCACCATCAACGAGACCAGTTTCTCAAGGGTGCGGGCACTCTGGCGGCTGGTTTCCAACACTTCCTCGTGGTTGGCCTTTTCTTTGGTGTCATAGTCCAGAATGGCCTTGTTGGTGATGAGGGAGAACCCAAAGACCCGGATGCCGCAATGACGGGCCACAATGACTTCAGGGGCCGTGCTCATCCCTGGAGGGGGGAAGGAAAGAGGAAAGCATTAGAGGAACAGGGTCATGAGGCTTGTGAAGAGTGGGGACACAGCCCTCTTAGCACGCTACCAAATTGGGGGAGGGGGAGGAGGAGGGCATTGCTCTCCATGGAAAACAGCCTGGGAAGGGTGAGGAGCATCTGGTCCCTTCTCCTGGGCAGCTTTCTTAAGGACTTCTAATATCTGAAAACATTTGTTTGTTGTTCTTCTCAATTGTCCTGTTACTAGCGAATGCATCAATAAAAGCAGACCATAAAAATGGTGCCGAGAAAACAGCACAACTAACATTAAATCATAATGAAATGAAAGTCAGATAAAGAAGGTCCATCTGGCCTTGGACTGACCATACTGAAAACACCAAGTAACTTTTCTTTTATGGTTCCCCACATCACCCCATATGCCTAGCCAAGGGGTCTGCTATGGTGATAGCATTCAAGCCCTATCAGAGGGTTACACTACAGGGTTTGTTACTGTTTATTTATTTATTAGATTTACATCCTGCCTTCCTGCTGGCACCTCAAAGCAGCAGAAACACTCCTTCCTCCAGTTTCTTCCACAACAACCCCGTGAGGTGGGGCAGGCTGAAAGAGAGTAACCAGCCCAAAGCTACTCAGTCAGCTTTCCTGGCTGAGGATGGGCTTGTTCCTGGGTCTCCTCGGTCCTCGTCCAGCACCTTCACCATGAACCCACCTGGCCCTCAAAGCACATTTTTGAGCTTTTTCCTGGCTTACAGCCTGCTTCCTCTGACATAAATCACAGCCTCTCAAACTGAGCAACACCAAAACATGAGAATAAGACTCAAGTGGCTACACCAGACTGGTAGCCAGTTCTGAGGAACTAAATCATATTTTAGATTGCTGGCACCAAAGGCCCCAGCAACCAACTGTCCGTCCGTCCGTCCGTCCTCCCTCCCTCCCTCTATTCATTTATCCTCTTTCTCTTCTTTTTCTCTTCTTTTATTCTTTCTTTACTTCTAAATGCAATTCATACACTGCTCAATTCCCAAACAGGTTCTGGCTGGCTTCCGAAAGAGGCAAAGTGAAATACAAACAATTAAAAGAGGAGGAAAAAACAGCCAGAACAATCAGTTCTCCTGCCACTGACACCCAGAAAAACAGGCCTAGCAGCAACAGTGGCCTATCACAGAAGGGACCCTGCCTCATCGTCAATCCCCAAAGGCTTTCCTGAACGCCAGCAGGATTAGCACTAACCTGATCTTGGGCAGAGCGTCATGCCCAAGAAGAGGTGAAGCTTAAGAAAACACCTTGAATTACAAGACCGGTGCTTTAATGCCTTAGCTCAGCAGCCTTTTTCTCTATTTTCCTATTGCTTGCATGAGGAAGGAGATTCCTAAATATAGCCACCCCTGTTCTCTGACCTAAAATTACAGTTTAAAAACTGCCAGGAAAATTTTTAAAAAATACATTAAAGAAGGCGGCAATGGCAATCTTCTTCTGTACTTTTGCCTCAAAAACAATCAAGTCACCAGGAGGTGGGCTGGACACAAGGAAGACCTGGTTTTCTCTATGCCCAGGAGGAACATTCCCCCTTAACTCCATCCTTGACTGACCCACAGCATCAGCGCCCAGCCTCTGCAGGAAGCGGCATTCCGCGATGGTCTCGTAGCTGGGGCCTCCCAGGGCGCAGTAAACCCCTTCCTGCATGAAGCCAGAACAGCCAATTTCAGAGGCCACCTTGAGAGCCAGTTTTCTCAGGTCTTCATTGTAGGCATCCGACATGGCTGGGAAGCGTGCCCCGAACCTGCAGAAATCAACGAAAAGATGGGTCACGGGATTGCGCTCCTTCATTTGCATCCGAAAAGGAGCCCAAAATTCTGTTGGAATCAGAAATGTTCGTAAAGGCTGGGAAGGCAGCCGTGGACACGGAACTAAACACATGGCCCTCATGCTGTAAGCAGGCGGTCATCTAATTTCAAAACCGCTCTGGAAGCAGACCTTTAAGAGCCACAGAGAAAGCTGTTTTCTCTCTCTTGGAAGTCCAGTGAACAGGCAAGAAAGAGAATGTGAGCGTTACCTCTCATCATTCGGTCCCACCAAAGGGTTCTGCCCAGAAAACCCAGGCATGTTGATGTGGTCCCGGATCACCATGATGTCCCCCACTTTGTAGGCAGGATTGAGCCCTCCAGCCGCATTGGTGACAATGAGGGTCTCTACGCCAATCAGATGGAAGATCCGAACTGGGAAGGTCACCTGGAAGGAGAAACCAAAGGAAGATCTTGAAGGGGCTTCATCACACAGAGGGAGGGCAAGATACAGGAAGCCAATCCCCAGTTTTTGCACAGGCTCTAAGCAAAGCAACGGATCCATTGGTCCAAATTTGCCTGCGATCCTCCATGGCCTCTTCTGTTCTGGCTAAATGCTTAACCAAGACAGACAACTTGGCTTGGATGCATCTAAACTTTCTGCTTTCAAAAATTCAGAAACTGTCTCTGCCCTTTCCCCACCACTGAGATAAGCCGTCAGCCCTTCAAGGTAGATCTGACGAGGAATCCACTGCCATGTAGGTCAGTACTACTTTTATTGTAAAGCTATACAGAATCTTGCAAGTCTGAATGCGCTTCCCCCCTCCCTCCCTTTGTCTTTGCGAGAACTAGAGAGGGGCTTGTCTGAGATGCTTTTCCAGGTTACCTTCCTGCCCCGGACTCAGGTTTCTTTTATCTGGCCATTGTCTTGGTAGCAGCTTTTCCTCCTGTCCCTCAAGGCCATTCCCTCTTCCCTCTACATAAGGGCTCTCCCTGAGTTGGCAGAAAGCAATACCAGCATGAAATCAGCTTTCCCCACCGCCTACCCTCTCCCACCTCTGTTGCCCCTCTTCCCAATTCCTGAAGTCTTCTGGCTTTCCTCCCAGTGGCAAATCCTCACAAACTCCACCCCTCTTGAGGCTGCCCTTGGATGGAATAAAGGGGGAAACCCTCCTTTAATGCCCACTGAGCTACACACAACGTAAGACTTTCCTGTCATGGATCAAAAATGAGCTAAAGGCAAAATCTCAGGAACAAATAATTGTTAGGTGGAGTGACTAAAGGCATTTAGGAAGGCATTGCTCCATTTAGCTTAAAATTAATCCAGTCAGGTCTGGAACTTCCCCAGGATATACTATGTGGTTATTCCCCAAGGTAGACTAATATTTTTCCTTTATTCACAAGTGACAAATTTATCAGCTGTGCCTCTGCAAAGTTCTACTATACTACCTTTCCACCCTTCCTCCATGGCCCCTTCCTCAAAAGGTCCCATACATTGCTTCTTTACAATTATTTACAACATCCCTGTGAAGTAGATTAGCTGAGAGAATGTGCCTGGCCTAAGTTCACCTTGGAGTCTTCCTTTTGCATTTTTTAAATTTTGGGCTAATGGTGGTGAAAAGAAACTTTGCGTGCACTCAAAGACACTTTCTCCTTTATTATTATTCATTGTTCTTAAACACAGGTAGTCTTCGATTTATGACCATCCGTTTAGCGACTGAAGTTATGACAGCTCTGAAAAAAGTGGCTTGCAACCAGTCCTCGCACTTATGACCATCACAGCATCCCCATAGTCGCATGATCAGAATTCGGGCGCTTGGCAACCAACATGTATTTATGATGGTTGCAGCGTCCCAGGGTCACGTGATTGCCATCTGCAACCTTCTCAGCTGGCTTCCAACAAGCAAAGTCAATGGGGGAAGTCAGATTCACTTAATGACCATGAGATTCACTTAACAATCACAGCAAAAACGTCATAACATTGGGCGTGACTCAGTTAATAACTGCATCACTTAGTGACAGACTAAGTTCTGGTCCCAACTGTGTTTGTAAATTGAGGACTATCTGTAGTTTCCCAAATTATGATTGGATCGACATCTTTTGGTTTTGAAATGACTGCAGGTCTGAGTGGAGTGACTCACCTTCCAAAGTGGGTAACCTTCATACATATGGAAGCGACCTTGCATCACCACACTCGGTGTCCCATTCAAGTTCCCAAAGACCAGCTTTCCAGCGTGACCTACAACTTTAATGAGACAGGGAAAGGGTTAAACAATTCTCTGACGCCCTCAGTGGGCGATTTGTTGCATTGCAGCATCCCTGTATCCTGCTGGTTTCTCGCGCCACCCAGTGTCCTGCATGAAAATTACACCCCCTGGCCATCTCCCATTACCTGTGCTTTGGGGAAAGTTGGGGATCTTAGCATATTCAAACACAACTTGGTCCTTCAGGAGGTCAGCCAGCCCCCCAAGTCCTGAGCCACAGATGATAGCCACTCTGGGCCGATGCTTGGTGTTACTCAAGAGCCAATCTGCTGTCTTTTTACAATCCTCATAAGTGTATCTGAAACAACAAAAGATTGATTGAGAGGAGGAACACAGGGTTAATTGTTTTACCTGCAGGATTTAAGATTCACCAGTAGATGGCAGCAGGCCTGCACTCGAACTTTAATTAAGAGGTTTCTAATGTTTAACCTGATTACCGGAAAAAAACACATTAAAGTACACTGGATGTTGTTTTTGAACAGGCAGGACGTGTGTCTGTGGGGGGGGGGTAGCGGTCAATTGCATCAACCAGAGTCTGGAAAGCAGGAGAGGAGTGACTCAGCTGTCAAAATATGCTTATTCTGTGGAAGAAGAGAAAAAATCCCAAGCCCACACATATTAGTCATTCAGATTATTTTAGTAAATTACCATTAGTCATTCAAATTCTATAGTAAAACAGTGACGTTTTACTATAACTCATTCCATACACCGTACATTAGTGATCCTCCCATAAGGATTTTGTTTCCAATGTTTGCATTATACTCATATTCCACTGCTTCTCACCAGACTTCACAGAGACCTCTGTGTCCATTCAAAATAAAAATCTGAACTCTCCCGACCTCCCCATAAAGTAGATTGTGCCAAGAAAGGGGGAACAGTGAAATGGACTGCTGAACTTCACAGAAAAGTCACATGGGGGGAGAGATCTGAATTCAAACCTTCCCCATCGTGATACAAGCTCCCCGTTGATCCAGCTTTCAAAAACGGGATTTTTTATTTTTATTTTCTCATCTCTAGTGTTTCTTCATGTGAAAATTCTCCTCCTTCCAAATACATCATCCACGTTGCAATTTTTTTTTTCCAAAACACAGGGAGCTCCATTTCACTTTCTGTTCTTCTTTTCAAATAATTTTTATTAGAATTATAGATAACATTTAACTTTCTGTGACATGGATCCTCCTCTTCTCTTTTTCTGCACTCTTTGCACTTCTCCTTGGGCCAGTTCAATCCATTAAGCTACACAAGAGTTCTAGAAAAGGCTCGTGGACGACGGTTTTATATACAGTAACTGCAGCAAATTTATTATATGCATAAAGATGAAAGAATACAGAATTACCCACAATGGAGGAATAGATTGTGAAGATGGTAGAGTTTGCAGAAATGGCTAAATTGACTTGTTTGACTAAGGAGGGAACAACAATTACTTGTATAAAAGACTGGAAACCTTTTATGGACTTTTTGCTGAAAATGGACATAAATGAGTTGGTGATTTTCGGATTTACTGGGAATCTTGATATGTAATTGGGAAATGGTAATCATTATGCTTCTAACTGTTGCAAAGAAGATCAGAAGTCACTTTAGATATTTTTTTCTTATTCCTTTTCTTCGTCTTTTCCTGTCTTTTCCTTTTTCCTTTTACTCTTTCCTAAATTTTTTCTTTTTTCTACTTTTCTTTTTATGTTTTTGTAGTCTTTTAACTCTGTGTAAAATCCTTTCACACACACACACACACACACACACACACACTACACAAGAATTAATACATTTCCACTGGGTGAACTGGCTGGGCAGGCAAAGCCCATGTACTTTTCCACCAGAGACAAAAAACAAAAAACAAAACATCAAACATACCAGCCAAAAGTTCGCCTTTTTTGGCACGGTCAAGTTTTACCAAGCCCAAATTCCAGCTGGTCCACGGAGTTCCTAACATCCCACAGGGGAACGGTGAATTGAACCACCAGTCTCAAATCAGGGATACTGGCACCCACCAATTCTGAAAAACCCACCAGAGAGGTAAAGAAGCAGGTTGCTTAGAGGTGTTTTTTTTTTTTTTGGCAGGTAAATAAAAGATAAAATCCAGGCCAAACTTCTCCTGGTGCCTTGAGAGACATGCCCATATAACATTTCTGGCAGCAGAATGAAAGTAGTTTGCTGTTACTTTCATCTGGACCGTTTTCTCGATTTTATACTGTAGCCTACAGCTCTGAGATTTCCTGATGGTCTCCCATCCGAGGATTAAGCGGCTCCAATCCTGCTCAGCTTTTCAAGACCAGCCAGATTGGGATGTATCATCTCCCTCCTCTTGGCAGAAACGGAGTCATATTTCTGGAGGCTTAGAAACGGAACGCAGCTGGCAATGAAGTGTGCCGCCAAAGGACGTGGCTGGAGCCTACGTGAAAAGGGGTGTGCCCTTTTGCCTGCAGAAACAGCCATGTCTGCACGGAAGCCCTGCTCACATCCACAAGCCGTCATTCCATGTTCAGAGAACACAGTGGGACACGTTTGGTGGCCAACGCCTTTCAGAGGCACTTCACGTGATGAGCATATCCAAGCAGGAAGTAACTGAAAATATTCTTTGTGCAAATCTATGACACACGCCCAGTAATTACACTGTATTCTATACCGCGTGCCAAAGTAATGAACCAAAAGGAAATGGGCTTCATGAGGCAGAGCATGTGCGCACCACGCGCCCAAGGAGAAACAACGGAAAGGGAAACAGGGTACGGATCAGGCATTTATCACCTTTTAACCTTCCGAGAAATAAGACGGCCTCGTCTTGACTGCTCCAAAAGGCCAAGAGAGGGCAAAAGAGTTCAGAACTGGCTTTATTTCAAGCCAGTGCCGAGCAAGGGCAGTGGTAGTTTCTGAACTGAATTTTCAACAGGTTTAGGCCTAGTAGTTGCATTGCGCAAGAAACCGTCCTTTGGGGATGGAAATCACAGGTGCAATTTCATGTCTCCCTTAAAATATATGTAAGCAATACTCTGTGCATTTAAAAACCCAATCCATGGCCTGCGCATGGGAACTGGATGCTCTCTGCAGATGTTCAGATGCACTTTTGCTTGCCCTTTATGTAAACCCACAGACACAAACGCACACATGGAGTAGGACCTGCAGAGGGATCTACAGCCCAGTCTCCCAGAGATGATCTGAACCCGTCTCCCTTTAAAATCTTCAAATCCACAGAAAAAAAGGGGAGGGGTTGTGGTTGTTACTATTATTATTTATTAGATTTAGAAGCTGGATCCCAAATGATGCTGGAAGCTTACAATTAAAAAATAGGAAACAGTAAAAAGGGAATATTATGTAACCAGACAACCACATCCCATATACCAAAAACCATAACTGACCAAGCTTCACAGGCGCCCCACGCTCTTTCCTGGGGAACAGCCAGTCTTGTAAAGATTTCCAGATCATCATCAGTGGGAGCAATGCTGCTGATTGGGGGGATGTTGTTCCAAAAGGTGGGTGCTGGGACAGAGAAGGCAGACTTCCCCGGGTGGCACCAGCTGGCACTGTTTAATCGAGGGGACCCAAAGTACTGCCAGATCTTCCATGGGCATAAGCCATGGCAGATAGGGAGTCCCTCATATAACCTGACCCCTGGTTTTTGAGAAGGGCTAAGAGATCTGGGCTCTAACATGCAGACAACCTACTTCTTCAAATTCAAATCTTCTGGATCCCTTGGCTGCCATCAAACCGTCACCTTGATTTTTGCAGGCTAGATCTGGCAGCTCAATTTTCATCACAGCCCCGGCAACTGTCGTGCTCGGAGCCATAATCGCAATCATGATATAAGCCTACTTATTTATATTTATTTATTTCTCAAATTTATATAGCTGCCCATCTCACAGGAGATGACTCTGGGCAGTGTACGATAAAACCTACTATTAAAACCAACTACAAAACCAATTAAAAACAATGTTTGCCTTTTTAAGCAGCCTTCTATTTCATCCCGCTCTCGGAACGATCCATGTTGCTCAGTTATATTATGTTTTTTGCCCATGCTCTTTGGGACTAGACTTCCTTGGGAACTCCTGAGGATGTTAGACTGGCCATTCAGAAATAATGGCAAAGCAACCTTCCCATTGAAGTTTGCTTCCTTCCTGCCTCCAGGACTCAAACACACAGCAGAAACAGCAAACATCCCAGAATCCTCCACCCACCACTTTATGGTCTAACCCATCATAATCAGGGACAAGGGTTCTCCTGGGAGGTCAAGAAAAGGCAAGGTTCAGGCGGGGACAGACAATGGAAAAACCCTTAAACAGGCAGTTCCATGCAATAGTCCTGAAGATATTTTCAGCCAAACTCCTTTTTCCAGATGTTCTGCACTGTTTTTCCTCCTTGGCAGGGCTTATTCAAGCCCCCTGAACATGCCTGCACCAGCTATCTAGGTTCAAGCAACGCTATCCAATGAAATAAAATACCTCTGAGCATACCAAGAGTGGTTATCTCCCCAGTTACCGTATTCAGTTACATGGCTGGGCTCAGAAACCAAGACCTACCCCCTTGTCTAAAGCACAGGAAGTGTTACTGCCATAAAAATATGAGGGTTGCCAACTGACCAGGAGAAAAAAATTGCTCTGCAGAGTTCCTAGACCACAGGAAGATCCCATAAATACTCATTTCCTGCAGCACCTTGCTGGACGTGCCCTGCTCTTACAGTAACTCACAGCTTTTGCACAAGTGAGCATTAGGGAAAAGAAGTTGAAACAAGAATTGTAGAGGCAGTTTTTGTGGCTCATTGATGCATAATAAAGCTTGATTACTTCCATGTGGCCTTGTGTAGGTACATATTGGAGAATATGAGGAAAGACTGAGCTAGGTGATGTAATGGTATGGGGAAATGACCTTGGGAGACAGGAGGAAGAGCCGCAGTGTAGGCAACAGTCAGATAAGAGGCGCTGAGCCTGCAGAAGGAATGGGGACGTGGCAATCGTCTCAGAAGGGACCCTCCCTGCTTTCTTGGACCGTAAAGGCGAGGCGGGGGAGAGAGATGGACTTTCAGACTTGCAAGATTCTGTTAATGTAACCTTGCAATAAAGACAGAGCTAGTACTCCTGAGTGTGCTTCTTGTCTGGAATACCTTGCAAGGCTGGCGGGTTCATAGTCACCTTCTGTGCTGGGCAAAAGCTTCTCAAAGAGATGTGGCATGTCGAGGGCAGCGGAACTCATGGGTGGAGATGGCATTGCTCCCTCAGGATATTATCTTGCACCCACAGCCACCTTGGCCCAGGATGAGTAATAGCACACGTTTGATTAGACCAGCCGTTTCAAACGGGGACTTTCCAGAGCGGTTGGGCCCGTAATTCTCAGAATTTCCACTGACTGGGGAATTCTGGGAATTGCAGTTCCAG